ATTAGATTGATATTTCTTATATTGTTCATGGAATACTTTCTGAAGATTTTGTTAAATAGGAATTGTGGTTATAAACTCCATCAAGACCTCTTGATCTGCATTGACTTAGACCATTGTTAGTCATATTATTTCTTCATTTTTTGCTTTTCACATAGTTGAACCCCCTCATTACATCTCATTTTCAGATTGTCTTCACCAACAGGAGAATAGTCAGGGCATGGGTACACTGTCCTTATTTTCCATATTAGAAGTAGCAGACACTGACTAATGTGTAGAGTGTAAGAAGAGGAGAGACAACTTGATGTTGGAACTCTCAGAATCCAGAAGGCTTGCTGGATGCTGGAGCTTCAGGAGGAGACCATGCCCAACGTTGTGTATGAGATTTGAAAGCGAGGTTCACCTAGCAAAAACTTCCACCACCCGGTCGTCACCAAAACTGAGGTCATCTGGAAGTCATGGATGGGTTTGCTCCGTTTGGAACCAGAGAGATTGAGGAAACACCCCAAAGATTTTCTGCTGAGCCCGTGACTGCATGGCAGATGCAGAACGTGTTTGGGAAAGAACGGAATTATTCTTTGAGTCTGTGTCAGGGAAAATTTGATTAGTTAGTTCGCACGCCTGCCAACATAATCCTGCAGATCTTCTCTTTTCTTAATTGGAACGACATTGGGCAGCTATGAAAAACCTTCAAGTAATTCCCAAAGATGTGTAACAGTGAAGAATTCTGGGGGAGATCTAGAACTTTACAGAAGAAAAAAAGGCTTTTGCTACAAAGATGCTAGGTATAATCATTTATAAGATGCTGCTGGCTTTCACCAAAATGAAGCCCGACAGAAGATCACACTGAGAAGAGAGGTGGCATTTTTCTAAACTTTACAGAAGTTACCAAAAAAAAAAAAATAAATAATAGTATTTAAACTGAACTTTTATGTAACAGTTACTACCATTAAGACCTTGCCTGTAGATGACACTACAGGCAAGCAATTATCTGGTGGAGGTTTTCATTAGTATTTTGTTTAAGAAAAACCCTCTTGACTCTATTGTTTTGAAAATAAACTTATTTTCTCTCTCTCTCAAAAAAAAAAAAAAAAAAAAAAAAAAAAATTCCGCAAGGCACGTTGCTATTTTCTCGGGAGAGTGACAGCTTGAATGCAGTACAGAAACAACTCCTGGTTTGAGAGCTAAAATTGCTGTAACAAATGGCTTTCCTTTTGTCAACATGATCCCTTTGAGTTCTAAAAAATTAGTTATCTACATCATATATATGTAGTCCCTGCTGAGGCATGACCTATAGCTGTGCTTCTTACACATCGCCACGAGCTGAGGGCAAAGGGAATGCCTATGCCCAGGTGCCTTGGGTACGACCCAAAGCATGCCATCTATGTAGGGAGTTTTCTTTTAGTCTCGTTTTCTCCTAATCCTTATGAATATTTTACCTTCTATTTATTGTCCTTGATTAAATATATAAATAATGACCACATTAAAAAAAAAATAATCCTCTATTGTTTAAAGTATTGCAAATGTCCCCCATTGGCCCTCTCCAGCCTGCCCCTATCCCCCGTCCTAGGCCCTCACCATCCCAGTGTCTGTAGCTGTGGTCATGCATATATGCAGACAAGGTTCTTGATTGATTACTTCCCACCCACCCACCCTCCCTCTCTTTCCCTCCAAGAGTCCACACTCTGTTCCATGCTTCTATGCCAGTTTATTTTGTTACTTGGATTCCACACATGGGTGAGATCTTGTCTCTCTCTGACTGACTTATTTCACTTAGCATGATACTCTCCAGGATTAATGACCACATTTATTAAACATAAAATCACTTCCATTTCCCAAAAATGGTTGAGAAAATTTTGCCAGATGGTCACTGTGAGAACCAGCTTCCTCCTTCTTGGTTGACTATGGCCTTCCTGAGTGAGAAAACTGCTTATTATTCCTTTGTGTATCCCCAATATCTAGCAGAGTGCTGGGCACAGAGTCACTATTAATAAATGTGTGTTTGTGCTTAATGTATGCCTATTAGAGTACACGATGCATGAAATTCATGCATGGGGGGAGGGGTGTCCCTCAGCCCAGCCTGCACCCTCTCCAATCTGGGACCCCTTGAGGGATTTCCAACTGCCCGTCCCTGGGATTGGGCCTAAATGGGCAGTCAGACATCTCTCTCACAATCTAGGACTGCTTGCTCCCAACTGCTGGCCCACCTGCCTGCCAGCCTGATCACCCCCTAATCATTCCCCTGCCAGCCTGATTGATGTTTAACTTTTCCCCTGCTGGCCTGGTCACTCCTAACTGCCCTCCTTTGCCAGCCTGGTCATCCCTAACTGCCCTCCTCTGCCGGCCTGGTTGCCCCCAACTGTCCTCTTCTGTAGGCCATCTTGTGGTGGTTATCTTGTGTCCACATGGAGGTAGCCATCTTGTGTCCACATGAGGATGGCCATCTTGTGTGTTGGAGTGATGGTCAATTTGCATATTACTTCTTTATTATATAGGATATGTATGATGCTCAATAAATATTTTATATAGAATGTTGAATGATAGTATGTTTTCACTAGGAACATGTATTTTTATTCTTGTAAAAGTCTCTGTATGAAAAAAAATACGTACATGCTTTTGGTTCTTAACTTTCAACTTGACTTATTGAGATGTCTAGACTTTATGGGTTTAAGAGCAGTTCCTCTTTGAATACAGTGCTCTATGCAGTCAGCATCAGCATTTTCGGATCTGAAGTTTTCCTGTGGCTGAGTATTTAGACATTGTATCTGGTTTCTATATGCTTTTTTTTTCATGGTTATTTTTTTATATCTCCTATTTTCTTTGATGCCCCCTCATTATCTCATATTTCTCATATTTCTTTAAATTTGATGAGCATATTTATTTCATGATAATTGCACTTCTGTCTGATTCTGTAACTTTTTTTCCTCTGGCACATGAGCTCAGAGTGGTGGATTAGTGTATATTGTGATTTTTATTATTTGTTTATTTATTTATTTTTAAATATGTATTTTTTTTATTTTGGAGAGAGAAGGGAGAAGGAGAAAGGGAGAAAGGGAAAGAGGGAGAGAGAGAGAGAAAACATCTATCAGTTGCCTCCCATATGCACCCTAACCAGGGACCAAACCATAACCTAGGTGTGTGCCCTGACCGGAACTGAGCCATTGACCTTTCCATGCAGGACTAGTTCAACCAACTGAGTCAGGCCAGCCAGGGCCATATTGGGATTTTTAATTGTAAATTCACATTCCCTGGATTTTATCTGAGTGATTTTTTTGAGGTCTGGTTTTATTATTATTATTTTTATTTTTTTAAAATATATTTTATTGAGTTTTTACAGAGAGGAAGAGAGAGGGATAGAGAGTCAGAAACATCGATGAGAGAGACATCATCGATCAGCTGTGAAGCCTGGTTTTAAAGTCGACTTCATGTTCACTTTTCCAGTGCCTGGGACGATTTTAAACTGCATTGTGGGTTTCTCTGAGCCACGTAGCTGGTGTGATTTCTGGCTCCAGTCCAGTGTGAATTCAGGCTTTTAGTTGGAATTTTTCCTTCCCCTTCAACTCCCCCATTCACCTAGAACCGAATCCTAAAATCCAGACAGGTTCCCCCACTATCTGGCTTGATTGTTTATTTTCTTTTTATAACCATGAAAATGTCACTATTCAGGGCTTTCCAAATTCACAAGGAATCTTTGACCTAATTCCCACTCCCAGTGGCCACAGTTTTGTTTGCTACCTATGTACTTAGGCACCTGGACCCATCCTTCTAGTGTAAATGACCTGGAAATCTCGCCAGGATTAGCAGATGCCATTAGGGCAACCGTGCAGCATGGGGTGGGGATAGGGGTTGAAGCCTGTGGGTGGAGAGGTGTGGAGGAGAGTTTACTGACCTGTTTGAAATTTTTGTTTTCTCTTTGATTATGACCTCTGGTGAATTTCCCTTTTCTGTTTCCCATAGATATATGCAAACAATAGTATTAAAATATTTTCATTTATATTTAGGAGAAATTGGAAGAGATCTCTACTCATATCTAGCTTGTTGGAAACAATAGCTCTTGAACACCTGTGTGTAAGGCACGGTAATGACCCTCACACTGGACAACATGGCCATCCTTTTTAATGACAGTGGGATACACTCAGTGATCCTTACTCCTTATCTAGCCCAACTGGTGGCAGGCATTTTCATGATGACTGAAATTCTTGGGATCCTGTGTTCTTATCTATAATTAGAGGCCCAGTGCATGAATTTGTGCACCTTGAAAGGAACTGTAGGTCTTAAAGCTGCAGTGGGCACAGGGGCGGGTCTCAGCCCCTCCTGCCAGCAGCCCTACTTCCACTCTGCTGCTCCCACTTGCTGATAGCTCCAGTCCTCCTGGCACCTGCTGAAGGCACAGATCCGGCAGTGGCTGCTGCTCTGATTGCCCCTCAGGAGCAGAGGTAGGTGGAGAAGCCCTCAATGGGGCCAGCAGCCGCCACTCATGAGTGCTGAAAGTGCCAGGTGATCAAGGCCAGTGCTGGGTGCAAGCGAGGCTAGCACCCGCAGCAGATGTGAGCGCAGGGCAGGGCCATGGTGTGCAGGAGCAAAGAATTTTCAGTAACCACCAGAGGCTCAACAGGATGACAGTAACTGGTGTCCCACCTTGGTCTGGCGCTCCCGCTCACCTGTTCCACCATCCCACCATAGCTGCCACCCATCATGTTCCACACTCTACCACCTGCTGCCAACGCCCATCATATCCCCCTGGTGGTCAGCGCTAGTCATAGCTACCGGTTGTTTGGTTGTTCCCCTGTTTGGTCTATCTGCATATTAGCCTTTTATTATAAAATACAAAATGATGTTGGACTAAATGACCTTTACAGATCCTTCCAGCTCTAATTTTTATTTTTTTATTTTTTATTCTATGGCCCTGAAGCACTACTTCCCCCCTCCTCCCCCTCCCCCCCTCTCATTTTCAACTTTCCTTCTGACAGTGATATCACCCTTATTCTGTGCTCCTCCCACAGGTGGCCTCGCTGGGCGTCACGACCTTCACCTTATGCGCTTTGTGCATAGACCGCTTCAGGGCCGCCACCAACGTGCAGATGTACTACGAGATGATCGAGAACTGTTCCTCCACCACCGCTAAGCTGGCGGTCATCTGGGTGGGCGCCCTCCTGCTGGCGCTGCCCGAAGTGGTCCTCCGCCAGCTGAGCAGGGAGGACCCGGGCTCCGGGGGCCAGGCGCCCGCCGAGCGCTGCGCCATCCGGATCTCCCCGGACCTGCCGGACACCATCTACGTGCTGGCGCTCACCTACGATGGCGCGCGGCTCTGGTGGTACTTCGGCTGCTACTTCTGCCTGCCCACGCTCTTCACCATCACCTGCTCCCTGGTGACGGCGCGCAAGATCCGCCAGGCCGAGAAGGCCTGCGCCCGCGGGCACCGGCGGCAGATCCAGCTGGAGAGCCAGATGAACTGCACGGTGGTGGCGCTGGCCATCCTCTACGGCTTCTGCATCGTCCCCGAGAACATCTACAACATCGTGGCCGCCTACATGGCCACCGGCGTGTCCCCGCAGACCATGGACCTGCTGCACATCATCAGCCAGTTCCTGCTGTTCTTCAAGTCCTGCGTCACCCCCGTGGTCCTCTTCTGCCTGTGCAAGCCCTTCAGCCGCGCCTTCCTGGACTGCTGCTGCTGCTGCTGCGAAGAGTGCGCGCACAAGTCCTCCTCGGCGGCCGCCAGCGACAACGACAACGACAACGAGTACACCACGGAGCTGGAGCTGTCCCCGTTCAGCACCATCCGCCGTGAGATGTCCACCTTCGCCTCGGTGGGCACTCACTGCTGAAGGGCGCTGGGTTGGCTTCGGTTTTTTATTTTCATACCCTGCGAAAGTTTTTACTTCCTATGTTTTTTTTTTTCCCCTGACTCTGAAAGACATGCAGACAAAGGAAAGAATTATTAACTACTGTAGAACTGATTTTTTTGCAAATTAATATTTGTGCTTTGGGAAACAAACAAACAAACAAACAAACAAATAAAAGGTTTATATTTAGGTATTTAAGAAGTCCGAGGAGGCCAATAGTTTTAGATTATGTTACCTGGTATGGTGCTAATATTTTCTTTTGGGGAGAAAAGAAAACGTTCTCGCACCCTAACGGATTGCTAATTTTCATTCTTTTCAAAGTAGGATCACTGTATGTGGATGATAGCCATGTGATTTTTGTAGGTTATATTACGTCTGAGTTGTAATTGGAAGTATATTGTGTATATATACTATATCATGAGATGATTTTGTAGATGGGAAACATTCACAAAGTAGCGCCAAATAAATGACACTTTATTCTTTAATACCATTGTCAATCTACTTTTAACCCAACTTTCAATAAATCTTTTAATTGCCTTAAATGCACAATCACTGGTTCTATGCACAATTTTAAAAAATGGCCTTAGTGTTTTATAATTTTATTTTCCTTTAAGGCAGTCATCACTGTGTTATAAAGTCTTCTTAATACCGTAGTACTATTTTATATGCATGGCTCAAAAAACTATATCCTATGTTAAAACAAATTGTATTTTAATATTTAGATACAGATGTAAAATTACTTCAACAAATATTTACAGAATACGAATAAACAGAGAGCAGAGTAGGAAGAAACTAACTTTTCTTTTGTTTTTGTTTTTAATTTACCTTCCAACTAGCATGTAGACATAAAGGGTTTCTATAAGGAATAATGAGCTGAACTAAGGCCTCAAGCACAATGCACTTGTCACCCACTTCCGTCTGAACACTGACCTTGCAGCGCTGGGACTCTTATGCGAAGCACTCTGAATGCTAATTTCTCTCCTTTCAAACAATGAACTTGATTAAATCTGTGTGATTTCACGTCTTTAAGTAAACTGAAAGAACAGTAGTGGAGTAATAAAATATTTATGTATCTTGATTAGAACACTCGAATATTCAAATCCTACCTTTGAACTGGCATTCCATAAACTTCCAACAGAAAGCTAACCCTCTCCGTCTGAAGAATTTGAATTCCTTAAGGAGTTCAAGTTGCAGGCGCTGCGTAGGATGCCTGCCAGGTGGGACACATGCCTGAATCCGGTGGCAGAGACAGTGAGCTGGGGACACAGCATGGCCGTGTGGCTCAGTGTCTGTGTGTTCAGAAAAGGAGGAGAGGAGAATCCTGTGCTCTGGCTGGAGACCACTCTCTGTGCTTTCTGCTGGCCAGTTTCGGCACTGTTTGGCATAGCTGAGTAGCACCATCTTTCTTCCAGGTTATAACATGGTGTTTTTTTTTTGTGTGTGTGTGTTTTTAAATCATTACACTTTAGTGCTAGAAAAATAAAGATACTTAGTCCAGACTAATCATCTTTCACATGAAACCCAGGTTCTGACAGTGCCAGAATAACTTCTTTTTCTCAGTCAGTACTGTTCAAAGGGATTCTCCCTTCTTCCTGTATGTACCCTGAGGGATTTGAAGGAGAATAAGAATAAGAACAAGGCATCGTAACAGGTCTTTGGAAAACTTCTCAAGGATGCTTGAGCTAGGTTTTGGCCACTGAGCAGATCAGCAATTGTGATGCCCCAGTGTCTCTCATAACATTCACTCAACTTCATAAATACAGAAACATCAGCTGAGCACATGGTATGGAAACGGTTCTATGCCATTACCTGCTATAGATGAAAGTACACAGAGCTTAGGGTCAGACTTTATAAAACCAGGCGAGGGTGGGATGGGAAGGAAGGCATATGACAAATAAATCAACAACCATGATAGCAGGTGGGAAGGTATGAAGTTCTAGAATGGTTCAGAGCTCAGGATGGAGGACATCATGAAGGGCTTTAAGAGGTAACAGCGGATAGGTTTCAGCAGGAGTTGATGAGAGGTAGTATGAGAAGTGGACACTTCAGGAGGAGAGAGTTAATTAAAGGAACAGAGGAAGGAATCATGAGGTGTGATTGAAGAATAATTGAACAGTCCAGTTTGGTTCCTATGCTATATGTGCGTAGAAACCTCATGGAAAATATTATGAAAATAGGCACTGAAACCCTATCATAAAAACATGTAAGATGCCTCTGTTCAAGAACATTTTTTCTTCAACCCTGCCCCCTTGTTTAAAAAATAGATGGACTGTTTTCAGCCTTCGAGCACTCTTTAGGGTAACAATGTGACAGTTTCTTTCTAATGTTTGAATTCATCTTGCACTTGAAAGTATCCTTCAATTACTTTCTGTTGGTCTTGGCTTCCTATGTTCTTTTTCTAGGCAGCATATTCCAATATGTCTGATTACAGCTAACCTTTTTCATAAAGAAAGAAGGAACAGCATATTAAAAGTTTCTACAACTTCACCATCATGTTTTATGAATGTCCCTTCTCTCTTGCTAGTAAGCAGAACGTCTTTTAGTGAATGCAATTGGAGAACGTTTACTGAGCTCTACTTTTGCTCTATACTTACATTGTCAGTCTCTGAATGGGAAATCATTCAGCATAGGGCCTATATAATAGATGGGAATTACATTGTTTTAGAGCCCCAAGTGATCTCAAAGTCTGCCCTTATTACCCAAATCTTTATATATTTGGAACTTATCCTCTGAGAAGTTTACTGACTTACACAAGGTCACATCATTTTATCCTAATTGATTTAGAATAAGAATTATATATAAGAATAGCCCTGGCCCCAAGTGGCTCAGTTAGTTGTAGTGTTGCCCTCTGAAGGTTTGATTCCCGGTAGGGGTGCATACAGGAGGCAATAGATCCATGTTTCTCTCTTGGATTGATATCTCTCTCCCTCTCCCTCTCCCTCTCCCTCTCCCTCTTTCCCTCTCCCTCTCCCTCTTTCTCTCCCTCTGCCTCTCCCTCTCCCTCTGCCTCTCCCTCTCCCTCTCCCTCTCCCTCTCCTTCTCCCTCTCTCTCTCCCTCTCCCTTTCCTTCTCCCTCTTCTTTTCCCTCTCTCTTTCTCTTTCTTTAAAGACAAATGGAACATATTATTCTCATGCAAGGATAAAAATTTCTAAGAATAGAATGTCTCCTTTCAGGGATTATAAATAATAATTCTTACTACTTGACCAGTACACTCACAGCAATCTTTAAAATACTATATTTATTTGGATAACACATACTAGGTGTTCATTATATGTTTGCTCAATGAAAGAATAAGCAAATATTTAAACTGAAAGAAGATGCAGAAATATTGTTTAGCAAATTACAGATGGAAAACCGGGACTTTGAGTTAAGAAACCAGGACAAAATAAAAAGTAAGAAAATGTAGTTTTCTTGTAACAGTGATCAGATCATAAAATTAGTAGTTCAGCATTCATCATATGATGTGCATATCTATGGCCATATATGTATGTTTTTTCAACAAAATATAACATCTGGGTGTGACAATTAAATCTTCAAACTTCTCAATCTTAAAGTTATTAAGTCCAGGTAACCCCAAAGCCACTTTAGTACTTGGTTCATTTTCTTCTTTCCCTCATTCACTCCTCCATTCAGGCAGTTAACCCTATATACCACGCTGTGCTACATCTCAGGGACATAACAGTGTAGGAATTAGACATAATTCAGTCCTTTTTCGAGTTAACAGTTTACAACTGTTCAACGTCATTTCCTCAGCAAAAACGTTGAGTAGTGCCAAGAAAGAAAAGTGCTCTGAGAGTACGTGAGAGGGGAACCTGACCTAGTGGTAAAATCAGAAAGTTTCCTTGAGGAAGAACTAGGAAAGGGTTAGAGGTGGCAAGGGGATGACTCAAACAGAGGGAAGTGCTGTGCTAAGGCTCTGTGTGAAGACAGAAGAGCAAGTTCAGGGAACAGGGAAGGCTGGCATGCGAAAAGCCAAGGCAAGCATAGAGCAGTAAGTAGAGTGGAACCAAAGTTTGAATGGAAACAATTTCTGTTCATCCTCAATAGATTTATGTTATGTGTAGGTAGAAAAAATTCAAGTTATCAATGTTATACTGACCTTCTGTGCTTCATGGGAGACCACTCATCCTTGTTATCGATATTAGAAAACTGACTTCTTATGTAATTAAATCTAACAGTCTCAATTTTTAGTCTTAATTTTTTATTATAATTCACCGAATGTGCTTCCACACTTGTACCTCAAATATTGCAATCTGAAATGCAACAATTGAAGAGATTGCATTGATATCGATATTAGTAGAAGAGAATTATTTACTGTCATAGTTATGAGAACTTCTGATCCCTAGAATTCTGGTGCTAAATCATCTTTTCATTGCATTTTATAAATTTGTAGAGGATTAGAAGTCTTTTGGCTCAAGTACTCAAAATTTGAAGATTGATTAAAAAATAGTATGGCATAATCATCTTGACATGATCATTCTCTTGTATTAGTAATACTTTAATCAATCACGTGACTGTTAAATGATTTTTACATTTCCTGTTAGTCTATTGTCAATTTTAAAAACTAGATTTGATAGTTTCTTGTATTTTTAAGATATATAAATAATTCATATGCAATACATTCTTTGAAATCCATAAAAATCTTCTGAGTTGAATTAATGCTTTACTATATAGACAGGCATGTGATTGATTTGTTTTACATATTTTATATATGCTGAATTTAAATATAATCATAGACATTTAAAATTGTTCTATTTAATCATAATTTATTTCCCCAAGTTTTAAGAGAAACAGTCTCCTGTAATTTTATTACTCGTATTTGTATCAATATTATATTTAGAAATTTAGGTTGACTGGGGTTTCTAATCCCTAATCAAGTACTTTGAACTTGATAAAATCTGAAAACTTGTTTCAGACAGAATTTGAAAATTTAAGGGATAGTGTCTATGAGAGAGAGAGAGAGAGAAAGAAAGAGAGAGAGAGAGAACATCTGGAATGTCCAGAAGATATTGTAATGGTTGTGAGGGAAGCTTTCAAAAGAGTTCATAAAATGACAATCAGAGTTTTCTTAACCCTCAACTGACTTTTCATCTTGAATATCTTGTTGGTTGTAATTCCATTTATTTAAAAAAAAAAAAAAAAAAGTGGGCTTGGATCACCAGTGCTTTCAATGCAATAGAACTGTGGCCTAACATGAAGCATTTTAGTAATGGAGAAGTTATGTTAGAATGTACAATGTGTGCTTTAGTCCTTCTAAAAATGAATACATGCTCTGGTTTAAAAACATGAGGAAGGTGAAGAGATTAGCCGAAGAATATACATGCATAATCCATAGATACACATATAACAGTGTGGTGAAGCCAGAGGGAGGAGACAGGGGCTGGGTGGAGGTGGGCAAAGGGGTGGAGAAATCTGTAATAGTCAACAATAAAAATAATGTTAAAAATAAATAGAAACATGTTTACACATGTACACATTTAAAAA